CTTGATTTGGGAGGGTGATGGGAAGACAAACCAGGGGTTTAAGGCAGGGCCTTCCAAAAATTGGCCGCCCCATTGGGAATTTCCTTGGGGGGCCCTAAAAAAATCTTCAAAAACCTGATTTCCCATTTTCAGAGGAGTCCGATTTTTGATTTTAAATTGGGTGGGATGTATCCAAAGGCAATGAATTTTATAAAACTCCTGAAGGTAGAAGCACTTGTTTTTAATTTGCAAATAGATTCTAAGAAAAGAAGTCCCGAATCCCGCCAATTCACCTTATTTTTTTTTTTTTTTTTTTTTTTTTTTTTTTCCGACAGGCAGAGTGGACAGTGAGAGAGAGAGACAGAGAGAGAAAGGTCTTCCTTTGCCGCTGGTTCACCCTCCAATGGCCGCCGCTGCAGCCGGCGCACCGCGCTGATCCTGGCAGGAGCCAGGAGCCAGGTGCTTTTCCTGGTCTCCCATGGGGTGCAGGGCCCAAGCACCTGGGCCATCCTCCACTGCACTCCCTGGCCATAGCAGAGAGCTGGCCTGGAAGAGGGGCAACCGGGACAGAATCCGGCACCCCAACCGGGACTAGAACCCGGTGTGCCGGCGCCGCAAGGTGGAGGATTAGCCTATTGAGCCACGGCGCCGGCTCCGCCAATTCACTTTAATAAGTACAAGGGCACATCATAAGTTCATGGAAAAATGAAATGAGAAGACAAATTTATTTTGGTGCAAAAAATTAAAATCCATGGATAATTTTGTTCATAAGATGGATTTCCATGAACTTTTTTTTTTTTAAAAAAGATTTATTTACTTACGTTTATTTGAAAGGCAGAATGACAGAGAGAGAAAAGGAGACAGAGAAAAAGATCTCTATCCACTGGTTCACTCCCCAGTTGGCCACAATAGCCAGGCTGGGCCAGGCCAAGGCTAGGAGCCAGGAACTCCATCAAGGTAGAAGCCCTGCACTTGAGCCATCATCTTCTTTTTGCTTTCCTAGGCACATTAGCAGGGAGCTGGGTCAGAATTGGATCAGCCAGGACTTGAACCAGTACTCCAATAAGAGGATATGGCATCACAAGGGGCAGCTTAACCCACTGTACAACAAAGCCAGCCCTCCATGAACTTTTTGAAAAAACTATGTGCATGTATCCCAGAATTTCTCATTAAATAAACTAATTTTAATGCTACCTTCCACACACATTTTGAAGTCACCTCATATATGATATTTTAGATTCAAAAAATGTGAAGCAATGTACCAAAAGAGAATAAGACAGTTAAAAAGGTATATTTTTAAAAAGCAGACACTGCATACAGAGGGTGAAAAAACTGTACTAGAAGCTAGGTCATATTTACTGTAAGGGCATATTAAACTTAGACATCAGGAAATGATTCTTTTATTCCTATGTGAGACATGGAAATATGAGTGTTCTAACTGTGGTATTGTATTATTATACTGATATTACATAGGATGAAGGTCTTTCCCAAAAGGAGAGGTCATTTGAAGATGTTACAGTGTCAGGAATAATAACACTAATGGAAGAAGAAGAATAAAAATATTTCTATAATTGTCATTAAGAATAATTAGGAAAAGCCACTGTTTACCATGTGCTAGGTATCACTCTAAGTGCTTTATGTGTGTTAAATTATTTACTTTTTCAATGATTCTTGAGGGAGGTAGTACTGCAAACTCAGTTTAGCAGATGAGAAAAACTGAGGTTTAGGAACGGTGTACTAATATATTCAAGAGTACACAGCTTGGGCTAGGACTGTGGTATAGTAGGCTAAGCCTCCGCTTGCAGCGCTGGCATCCCATATGGGCACCAATTTGTGTCCCAGCTATTCCTCTTCTGAACCAGCTCTCTGCTATGGCCTGGGAAAGCAGCGGAAGATGGCCCAGGTCTTTGGGCCCCTGCATCTACCGTGGGAGACCCAGAAGAAGCTCCTAGCTCCTGGTTTCAGATCGGCCCAGCTCCAGCCATTGCAGCCAGTTGAGGAGTGCAGTGAATGGAAGACCTTTCTGTCTCTCCCTTTTTCTGTCTGTAACTCTGCCTCTCAAATATATAAATAAAATTTTTAAAAAAATCTTAAAAAAAAAAAAGAGTACACAGTTAAATAGTAACAAAGACAGATATATTGGATTTTAGAAATGAGCTGGGCTGATGCTTCTGGTTCAGAATAAAAATTGAAAGCTGAAATCTAGACATGTGCACTATAAATATACCTTACCATGGCAGCTCTTAAATACTGAAAGGACAGAAGCTCTTTAACGCAGCCGCAGCCTCTTTCTTATGCATACAAGCTCATGACAGGTGAAGTAAAAAACAAACACAGGTGACAGTGGTTGGGCCAGCTCTTAGGCTACAGTGTGGATTCTGCGGATAAGGAGACAGAATTGTAAGTTTCTACTTAGGAAAATACACACACTTTACACACCCGCATCCACACTGGCACGCACTCCAGTTCTGCACTTTTTGCTCACTGAATTTATTCTCCAACTATTGTCTCTTAACATTTTGCAAACTTTTCGGTGCTTTTATTTTATTGGCCATGTGTTAAGAGGAAAGGAATTTTATCCACATGCATTGAAGGAAAGCTGTACTCCAGAGACCATTTTGATGGGGCAGTAGTTAATCAAAATTAGAGAACCTCAAGTAAAATGCAATATTCAGGAACACGAAGTTGCGACCTTTGCTCTGAAAAGTAATTATGTTATACAAATAAATTCTTGCTTCAGGAGGTACTTGTAACTACTACCATTGAAGAACACTTTTACATTCTCATTAATTCTCACAGACTCCTCTGATATCGACAGGCATGATTATCTCCGCTCTATTGATTAGGAGCTTTCAATAGGCTTCAATAGTTTGAGAAAAATCCATCCTACTGGCTTGGATCCCTGAGACCTTTCTGTGAGACTACAGTTAGATGGAGATAATACATTAACTTTGTTCCTGGCAATTCCAACTTGGCTGTCTCCCAGGTTGGCAAGATAATGCCTCCAGCAAGCAACAAAGAAGAACTTGTTAAACTCCAGGTCTTCACCTTGATTTTAGGCCAGAGAAGCTCTCTTGGAAGCCATACATCTTGATCTAAAGGTCCTCTGTGATCTTTAATTCTGATTACTGGTTCTTTAGGGAGATTTAGTTTCCTGCTCTTCTCTTTTCTGTCACCCTCAGCTAATTTTCTCTGTTGATAACTCTGCTTTCAAACTTCTTTCCCTTCTCATCTTTCTTCCTTAGTATTTTGTTATTAGAAAATAAAGTGCCATTCATTTGACCAGGAAAATAGAGTAGTCAGAGGAAAAAGTCATTCATGATGACCATCACCATTGCTGTTGTGGAGTTCTGATATTATTTTCTTTGAGAATTCTCTGCACCAGTGTTTTCTTCTAACCCATTTTGTTATGCTCTTCTTACAATATGTACATCTTTAAAATTTGCTATTTAATTTAATGAACAAAAAATCATTTATTAGGCATTTTTGTGAACCTAAATTTGAAAGATTTTAAATATTCTATTGTTCACCTATATAAAAACAAGTTGAGATGTCCCTCCTCTTATTAAAATTTGTTATTTCTATTTTTAGCTTTCTATTTTAAGAAAATTTCAAACATACACAAAAACAACAAGAATAGTAGAATGACTCCCACATGTTCATCACCTGAATTCAACATATGACCAATCTTGTGTTATAAATATCTTCACTCCAGGCTGTGGCTGTTTTGAAGCAAATCCCTCTTTGTGTTTTTAAAAAAGTTAATGAGTGTGATAAATACCTTTTATGTTCAGAAATACCTTCCATTTTAAACAGTATGTTGTTGTTTTGAGAGGCAGAGAAGTTCACACAGAGACAGACAGAAATAGCGCTCCTATCCCCTGGTTCATGCCCCAGATGCCTGTGGTAGTGGGGACTGGGCCAAGCTGAAGCTGGGAGCCAGGAACTTAGTCCAGGTCTCTCAGGTGGGTGGCAGAGACACAGTTACTTGAGCCATGACCATTACCCAGGGCTGGCATTAGCAGTAAGCTAGAATTGGAGCTGAAGCTGGGACTTGCACCCATGCACTGCGCTACAACATGGGTCACAGCTATTTTTTTTTTTTTTTTTTTTTGACAGGCAGAGTGGACAGTGAGAGAGAGAGACAGAGAGAAAGGTCTTCCTTTGCCGTTGGTTCACCCTCCAATGGTCGCCATGGCTGGCACGCTGCGGCCGGCGCACCGCGCTGATCCGATGGCAAGAGCCAGGTACTTTTCCTGGTCTCTCATGGGGTGCAGGGCCCAAGGACTTGGGCCATCCTCCACTGCACTCCCTGGCACAGAGCTGTCCTGGAAGAGGGGCAACCAGGACAGAATCCGGTACCCCGACCGGGACTAGAACCCGGTGTGCCGGCGCCGCAAGGCAGAGGATTAGCCTAGTGAGCCGCGGCGCCAGCCGGGTCACAGCTATCTTAACCAGTGGCTTCACCTCTAGGCCAAACATCCACCCCTAAAAAATGTTTTCCTTATAATTGACTCCTCAGAGAAAAATTCTCGGGTCAAAAGTATAAGTGACTCTGAGGTGGGTCCTGCAGTGTAGCAGATGAAGCCTCAGCCGGCAGTGCTGACAACTCATAGGGGCTGTGCTTAAAGTCCTGGCCACTTCGCTTCCGATCTGTTCTCTGCTAATGCTACTGGGAAGGCAGTGGATGATGGCGCAGGTGCTAGAGCCCACGCACCCATGTGGGAGACCTGGAAGAAACTCCTGGTTCCTGGCTTTGGCCATGGGGAGTGAATCAGAAGATGGAGGCTCTCTTTCTGTCTGTCTCTCCTTCTCTGTCTCTGGAACTCTGCCTTTCAAATAAATGAATTTAAAAAACCTCTTTTAAAAAAAATGACTTTGAGACTCTTGGTTTATATATTGCCAAATTATTTTCCATAAGAGTATAAATTTAGATTCCTTCTCAATCATATAAAAATAGTCTTTAAAATAAAGTTCTTCGGAGCATTATAATTCACTTTTTTGAATCATTTTTTTTAAATGGATAGTTGAAAAATCGCATCTTGCTTTCTTTTAAAGTATGTTTTAAATTACTAGTTAGGATGAAAATCTTTTTAAAAAACATTTATTTTATTCATTTGAAAGAATGGGAAAAAAGGAGGGAGAAAGAGAGAGAGAAGGAGAGAGAGAGAGATAGGATTCTCAACTGCTGTTTTACTCTCCAAATACCTGCAACAGCTGAGGAGCGGCAGAGCCAAAGCCAGGAGCCAAGGACTCAATCCAGGTCTCCCACATAGGTGGCAGGGACCCAACTACCTAAGCCATCACCTCTCAGGGTGCACGTCAGTAGGAAACTGGAATAGAAGAAGAACCAGCACTCAAACACAGGCACTGAGATAAGGGATGCAGGTCTCCCACTGGAACCTTAACCATTACGCCAATCGTCCTCCCTGGAAGGAATTTTCTTTAAACTTAAGAAGTCATTGCCACTCCAATAAAATTTATACTACTTTTTTTTCTTTTGTGCTTCTTAAAACACATAGTTGCTTTTCCAGGTAACTCTTATTTCGTGTAGGCATGAAACAAAGGTCTAAATTATTTTTATCAAATAAGAAATCCATTGCCTAAACACCAGTTAAGTGACACCATAATAAATCTCAGTAGTTCTCAATCCTAGCTGAACAATAGTACCTCCTGGGAATCACTTCCTTTAGTGAATGCTGACAGGTGAAGTGAGGATCTATGGGGCTCATCTTTATCATACTCTCTAAGAGGATGAGGAATGAACACCTGGTGCCTACTTTTGTTTTTCTTTTTTTGACTCCACATATGAGTAGGGAGGGAAGGGGAGAAGTAAGCATGGGGAGAGATTGATTCATGGTTGCTAAGTTTTACCTAGGAGTGGGCACTTTTATTGCACAGTAGGATGATTGTAAGTAATGTTAATGTCATATTTCTCTGTTTTTTTTTTTTTTAAACTAGAGTTTGAACGTTTTCATCATATAGCAGTGTTAAATGTTTGAGGCATGGATATATTTACCATGATGGAACTTACTACAATGTATACATCTATCTAAACATCACATGGTATCCAAGGAAGAGGAGACCGGACCTTACAAGCAAATGATCAAATAAACTAGCTAGACTATAGAGGTAGACTCTGATAGATGCAGACAGATCAGATGTAGAGTAAACTTCAGGCAAGAATTACCAACCTGGGTTTCCTGCATGGTTGACAGAGCACAGGACAATGGGTTCAGGGGTGTATAGGGGAGAATGAAGTAAAAGGAAAGTGAGATGACAGTCAATGCATCCCCCACCAAAACTCTTGTTGAAATTTAATCCCCATTGTGAGTCATTAAGAGGTAGGACCAGGTGGGACCTTTAAGAGGGGCTAAGGTCATGGGGGCAGAGCCGTTCCTGGGTTAATGGGCTAATGGGTCTTCCAAAGAGTTAAAGCCAGTTAAGCTCTGTCTCTTGGAAGCACTCCTGTCACCATGTCATGCCCTGTGCTGCCTTGGACCTCTGCAGAGGGTCCCACCAGCAGGAAGGCCCTCACCAGATTGGGTCTCTCAACCTTGGACCTCCCAGTCTCCAGAACCAGGAGCTAATAAACTTCTGTTCTTTATACATTACATTGTCTGTGGCATTCAGACACAGCAACAGGAAAAATGGACTAAGACAGTCAGTAATTAGACATTAGCATGGTTGGATATAGCCGGGAGGTTTTTTCTCTTGTATTAAGAGTTCAGTAACTGGAGGAGTATAAAACAAAGTTTTAATATCATTTAGGAGGAATGCATTAGGCAGAGGATGACAAGGTCCCATTCTGGGTGGCATTCAGGATAGGACTCCAGATGTAGAGTTTGGATACTAAGCATGAGTAACCACGCAGACCTTGAAAGAGTGGATCAAAGTGATGCCTTCCCAAACTGGGGAGTGCGGTAAGAATGGAAAGAAGGGGGCTGAGATGGTTGACATCCTTATCGTCACCATCATTGTTGGCTCATGAACTAGTCAGAAATTAACCCAGCATGTATTCTGTATCATCAATGGCCCCATCTACAAGGAGCTGAGAAATTTAGGTGTAATATAATTGGGGCTGGCATTGAAGAACTAGTTCCTGGTTCATTTATATACCACTATTTAGAATTCTTCCTATTTTTATACCTTACTCCACAATATTATGCCATTTGGTCCATCTGGTTTAAATCTCTCCCGCTTAACATGAATGTCAGATTCAAAGCTCTATCAGCAGCCTTTATACCAAAGCCATTAAATGAAGTATGAAGAGTTTTAAAACTCACATTAATTTTATTATCACTTTAACTTCCTCTCCACACTCAAGACTGATTAAACATATCCACAAACACTACAAATGTGTAGATGAAAAGTTTTCTGTTTCCATTGTGAATTCTAGTTAGATGTGTTTGCCTGAACAATGCAGCTATGTGACTACCTCCTAACCTCAGAGGCAGATGAAGAAGGAAGGGAGGAAGGGAGAGAGAGACTAACACACGCTGTCTGCAGGGGACCTGTTGTGTCCTAGTTGCTTTACATAAATTGTGCTCTGCAACTCTCAACACTTTCAAAGGTAGTTTTCCTCATTGCCACTTTGCAGATGGGAACACAGAGGCTTGAAAGCTTAAATACCTTGCACAAAATCACAATGAATGGTAGAAGTGAGATTCAAAGAGAAGTCAAACAAACCCCAAAGCCTCTTTTCTTACACTCCACCATAGGAAGCTGTAGGGTAAGAATAGGCCCCTCAGAGGTTCTGAGGCTGTCATGGTCTGGGGAGAAAAGTACAGGTCAACAGAAGAATTTGAGACCCCTGCAGGGAAGAGGGAGGGGGCGTTACTGGCTAAGGAGACATGGTTTGGAAGCACCTTTGCTGGTGTAATTTACGCCATGCTGCTCTGTGTGTGTGTGTGTTGACTGCCTTTAGGAGAGATGCAGGTTTCCTGGCTTCTCAGGAAGAGAAGGAAAGGCGAGATCAGGTGATTTGTCTCTGGATGCTCAATGCATCACCACCCATGGGGCTAGAACTTCAAACCTCTGACTTTGTTCCCACCAAGCCAGTGCAGCCTCCCCCTCCCACCCAGTTCCTAGACAGCACAGTGGTGAACCACGCAATCCCTGGGGAGGGGAATTGGCTACCAGCCCCAGGCTGTGCAGAAGGAGGCATTTCATTTCTCTGTTCACAGAGGTAGCCTTTTCATCCTGTGGGAGTGTTTGTGATTGTTCACCTGGGATTGTAGGATATGCATAGAGTCTTTGCGGTGACACACCCCATGCGACACAGCACTGAGGTAAAGGGCAGTGAGTTAATTTCCTGGTTGTGGAATCTTCTGTCTGTCTGTCTCTCTGCCTGCCTGGGTCTGGAATTTATTTATGTGAGAGTGAGAATGTGTGTGTGTGTGTGTGTGTGTGTGTGTGTACGCACGCGAGTGCATGTCTTCCCACTATCCTTTGTAGCCTGGCCTCCTCTGGTGTGCTAGAACAGGCTGGAGATGTGGCCAGAAAACTAAGCAGACTTGTTTACTGTTGGAGGGAAACTCCAGGCTATTTTTTTAGGGAGCTTCCCCAAAACTTCCCCCTTAGAAAGAAACACCCCCAAGAAGAGTGGCAAAAAGGAGGACCAATCCTCGGAATTGCAATGTACCTGACAGCGGCAGGGTCACCGTGCTTGAAAAAGGCAAGCCCCAGGATGCGCATGCAGCTGTCTCTGGTGCAGCAGCCAGATGGGCCGGCGGAGACACAGAAGGGTCAAAAGCTGTTGTGTTTAGCGTGGGTAGTGGCTCTGTGTTCTTGTTCCCTTCCTTATTATCCATAGCCATTATTCTGGGCTGGGGATTCAGGGGCCCTGGGAAATTGTTTTGGATTATTAATCCCAGGAAGAGGAAATAATCAGCAGAAAAATATCTGATTTACTTCTGAGCTTTTAGTTGCTCAAATGTAGACAAAGGATTATGGAATCTGGAAAATGAAAAATGGAATTATAATTAGAGTAAAAGTGAAATGAGATGCCTTAAATATTTATAACACACCAGAAGAAATGAACTATCTATATGATATTTATTTATTTGAAAGGCAGAGATATATAGAGATCTCCCAACTGATGGTTTACTCCCCAAATACCTGAAACAGCTAGATCTGGGCCAGGCTCGAGCCAGGAGCCAGGTCTCCCACATGGATGGCAGGGACTCAATTATGTGAGCCATCATCTGCTGCCTTCTAGGGTGTGTGTCAGCAGGAAACTGGAATCAGAAGTGGAGCTGGGACTCCAGTGCAAGCACTCTGATGTGGATGCAGGCATCTCAAGCCACATCTTCCCTGTTAAAATGCTGTTTGGGGCTGGTATTGTGGCACAGCGGGTTAAATCCCCAATCCGCAGTGCTGGCATCCCACATGGGTGCTGATTCAAGACCTGGCTGCTCCACTTCCTTTTTTTTTTTTTTTTTAAGATTTATGATTTATTTATTTTACTTGAAGGTCACAGTTACACACAGAGAGAAGGAAAGGCAGAGAGAGAGAGAGAGAGAGAGGTCTTCCATCTGCTGGTTCACTCCCCAATTGGCCTCAACGGCCGGAGCTGCATCGATCTGAAGCCAGGAGCCAGGAGCTTCTTCTAGATCTCCCACACAAGTGCAGGGGTCCAAGGACCTGGGCCATCCCAGGCCATAGCATAGAGCTGGATTAGAAGTGGAGCATCCAGGACTCACACTGGCACCCATATGGGATACTGGCACTGCAGGCGGCAGCTTTACCTGCTACGCCAGTGTGCCAGCCCCTGCTCCACTTCCAATCCAGCTCTCTGCTATGGCATGGGAAAGCAGTAGAAGATGGCCCAAGTTCGTGGGCCCCTGCACCCATTTGTGGGAGACCTGGAAGAAGCTCCTGGCTCCTGGCTTCAGATCAACACAGCTCCGGCCGTTACAGCCATCTGGGGAGTGAACCAGTGGATGGAAGACCTCTCTCTCTATCTCTCTGCCTCTGCTTCTCTATAACTCTGCCTTTCCAATAAATAAATAAATCTTTAAAAAATAATAAAATGCTGTTTGTCGTGTCTGTGAGCACTGAATTTCTTGCTTAGATATTACAAGGCCTATCTCTAGTGCTCCTCTACAAGGTAAACATTTGTGAGGTACCAGGATACAAATCAGTCTTCGTCATCTCCACTGTAGATCACACCTGTTCCAGGAATCCCTGGATACAGGTGAAAGTCAGAAGCAAGAAAAGCTGATGCCCCTGAATGTTATTGTAGAAAGATCTGTTTAAACAGGTTCCAGACTCCCTGTTCAGAGTTCGAGGTTCATTCCAAACCCAGGGTCTCCAGGAAGGTAGGGATGGGTGCAGATCACAACATTCACATCCCTCAGTTCCTGAGCAGAGCAGGGGAGGGCAATGTTGCCTCCTCTCCTGTCCACCTCACACTGGGAGCGCTCACAGGGCGGAAGGCAAGTTATCTGCACAAGACTGCTTCTCGGGATTTAAAAGTGATCTTCAATTCACTCCTTGTCTTCTGACAGATTTGCTTCCATAGAAAGGTGGAGCCTGGGGCACTGACAGCTCCAGCCTGGGGATCCTAATTCCTCAACTGGTGCTCTATTCCCTGGGGTTACTGGCTCCTTCCTGGCCCCCAGGCTCACGGTGAAAGACTGATAGTCTTGGGAAGTGAGTCATTGCACTCAGAAAGCCAAAGGTGGAAACAGGAGTGAGGTCAGACCCAGGAAAATGAACCAAGGAAACAATCCTAGATTCCATATTCTGGTGAGTACTAGAAAAAATGTATGATGTTGCCCTTATTCTGAACACAGATATGTAGACATCACTACACCCCTACAAAGACTTTCAAGAAAACATGTTATGATGTACCTCCTGGTAAAATCTGGTTTTAGCATGGTGCTTTCTTCTTGACACTGTTGGCCGTGTTCATCTGAATGACACGTACATATGTATAGGAAAATAGTTTAGAGAGCCCTGGGTTTGGGGCTGGCGTTATGGCACAGGGGGTTACGCTGCCACCTGCAATGCTAGCATCCCAAACTCCAATCCAGCTCCCTGCTAATGTACCTGGGAAGGCAGCAGAACATGGCCCAACTACTTGGGCCCGTCCACTTACATGGGAGGCTCAGTTGGAGATCCAGGCACCTGGTTTCAGCCTGGTCCAGGCTGGGTTGTTGCAGCCAACTGGGGAGTGATCCAATGGAATGAAGATCTCTTTCTCTCTATCCCTTTCTTTTTCTGTCACTCTGCCTTTCAAATAAATCTTTAAAATAAATAGAGAAATAAATTAAAAAGAACATCAGGTTTGTAAGTGAAAGAGCCGTGTATGAAACTGTGCTTTGCTCTTCACTTATCTTTTGTTTTGTTTTGTTTTCAGCCTGGCTAATTCCTAACTGAGTCCCTCGGTTTCTGCCTTTGCTCCTTTATGTGAATGTGCCTGGTGCCCTGCAGTTGCTCAACATACGTTGTTAGATCTAGAAACAGGAAGGGCAGCTTACTTTTCAGGATGTTAGAGATAAGTAATTCTGGACTTCGCTAGATCTGAGCAGTTCTCTGACCCACTTGGAATTTACCATGTTTACTCTGTTAAAGGAGATTTTATTGGCTAGGTAGCTCAAGGGTAAGAACGAAAGCTGGAGGAAAGCAGCTGAGAGCTTAGGTAAGAAGATACTCTCCCAGGCAGGGCCCTGCCACGCCCCCTATATTTTACCTTTCTGACCTCCAACCTCTGAGTCCTCTGCCCTGTAGCCCGTGACCTCCCTTAATGCAGGTGGCACCCACTGGGGAGGGTGGGTTGCCTGTCTACTGAAAAGGAACATGGCTGTAGATCCACATGGTCAGGTCGAAGGTGAGGCTGGCACAACAGATTTGATCAAACCCGACTGGAACAGGGCCAGATGTAATACTGAGGTCTAGCAAGGAAATGTCTCACAACGCACAAGCCAGCAGAGTACAAGAGAATGAAGCTGATTTTAAAAGTCCTTTTCATAGATGCACTTTGGTAGAAAGAGCTGCTTTTGGAAACTCATGGGTAGATTTCTAATTTCTGGAGAAAATGCTGTGCTAATTGAACAGAAATGTCACTGATAAGCATTGTGTTATGGCTACACGTAAAACTGTCTTTGAATTTAAAACAGGTGTAGAAATATAGTGTGGCATTATGCTTGCACATGCTTGTGAGTATGTGTAAAGGTTTGGAGAGTTAATATTTAATTCAGTTATAGTCATAATCATTCATTGCTGTGGTCTCTGTAAAGAGTTGGGTGGACTTCACTCCCGTTTTCATTCTCCTTTTCTTCCTATTTGCATGGCTTCCTCATTGTGCTATTCCTGCCTCTGGGATTCTCACTTCAAGAGGGGACCTAAACCTTATACTGTGCCAGGAAATAGCCTGAAGCAGTTTTTGTCCTGAAGAGAAAAATTAATGAGTGATAACCTCAAGTGAAGCACTGACATTGTTTTAATTAGAATCCTTGCTGAAGAGATTTGGCACAGTAGAGACAGGTATGTGTACACAAAAGGCAGGCATTTGTCAAATAAATTATTAGAATAAACATTTCATTAGATCCTTGTTACCAATGCTCTGAGTTTATTATACATAGCACAAAAGATAGAACTGGGGGATAATGCTTTATATACTTAAGGATTTTATAGTCAGTCTACATAAGAAGGAGAAGTAGCCAGCGTTTACTTTTTTTTTTTTTCAAAAAACTTATTTTGTTCATTTATTTGCAAGGCAGAGCTACAGAGACGAGAGAGAGAAAGAGAGAATCTTTCATCTGCTGGTTCACTCTCCAAAAATGGCCACAATGGCTGAGACTGGACCAGGCCAAAGCCAGGAACCTTGAATTCCATCCAGATTTCCCACGTAGGTTCAGGGGTCCAGGAACTTGGACCATCTTCCCCTCTGCTTTCCCAGGTGCATTAGCAGGGAGCTGGATTAGAAGCTGAGGAGCCGAGACTCAAAGTGATGCTCATATGAGATGTTGGCGTCACAGCTGGCAATTTAACTCACTGCACAACACCAGCTCTGACACAGAGATTTTTAACACAGTGGGAAAACTGCCTAGGTATAATTAAATGGGGACAGAGTATTGGTCAAATTGTACAGAAATATTGACTAGGAGCATTTTTCTAACAATCAAGTGGCCTAGAATCTAACTCACGAGAAAAGTTGCCCTAGGAGGTTTACGGCATTGAGCATTCTTTTTCTCAGCTTGACCCAGAGTGGACAGGGCAAGTCACAGAGCCATTGAATATGAATTACAGGGAGAAGAGTCCTGTAAAGGGAAATATTGTTGCTACAAGCACATATGAGCATTTTCTGATATCTGAGCGGAATGGGCTCTTCGTAATGAGTTTGCCCATGCAGGCTTCTGTGGATATGTGAGTACACCTGGTGTGTGTACATTAACAATCCTGGACTCATTCCCTAGTCTCTAGCCAAACTGCAATCATCAGAAAGAAAACAATTTCACTGAGTGAAGCTCAGTGCCCTACATATTTATCTATTTGCTTTAGCTTCAAATTTCACTAGGCTGTTTGGTGTGAATGTGCCTAACCTCTTTAAACTACTCAGGAACAAACAAAAGTGATGGTGACAAAATGTGGCAGAACATCGTATTGTATCCATAGGTGATCAATGTGCAAGGGGCTACAAACATGGGTTTGAGACCCTGGGGAGAGGTGTGTTTGACCATGCACCTGCAGGTGAGCGTGCCCACTATTTTCAGTTCTGTGTGTGGACATAAGTGCACACAGGACTTCAAATGACCTCCTTCGGTGCGTTTTAGTGGGTGTGTAGTTTAGTTTCTGGGCAGAACCCACAGGTCTGAGCTGGCTGCTGACTGGCCCTCTTTTTCCACTTGTACTAAGGTAGAAAGATTGTGCTTGCTGGCGCAACCTACTTCCCAGAGAGCCAAACTCGTTAAACTGGCTGCTCCCTGAATGAAAATAATTACATCTGATAATGTTCTGGAAAGGAAACAAAAGGAAAGGAAATAAGAACGAGAATGGCAGGGCCATGTATCCAGATAGCTTCTCAATTCACCTAGCCAAGTTAATGGTTTATTTTGAAGACCTTGTCCTTTGCTGTACTCTCTCAAGGCTCTCTTCTTGCACTATTGCTAATGGCATTCTTTGCATTGGGAATTGTGAAAACTTTTTCAACTACCTTTCTCCTTGCCTTTTTGGCTTATGAGATAGATGAGTTGGACTTTGCTGTCTAACTACTCTTGCCTTCATAGATACCTGGCCATGGACAAACCCACAGATAAGAATTTGCCTCTGCTCTCTGCAGTTTTCACCTTCTGGCTCCTCCTCTGGTTACAGTCTTCTGTCAATCAATTACACACCTATCTCTCTTTTAAGTTCTAAGGGAACATCTAACTATAAACCCCACGTACAACCTATTGAAAAATGTAAAAGTGGTGAGATGGGCATTGGGAGGCTTCTTGACACAGGTCTATCAGACACTGAGAGTCTGTCTCATTAACTAGCAATGTGCTTGCTGGTGTCAGTCATAAAACCCAACATGTAATATAACAATAGAAGGTAATGTAATATGGCTAATGAAACATATGTACAATACAGTATTGTGTCAAATAAGCTATACTTCTGATTTTGTGTTTATTTTTCAATTTTTATTTTTTGAAAGGCAGAGAAAATGACAGAGAGATATTCCATCCAGTGGTTCATTCACCATATACCTACAACAGCCAGGTCTGGGGGAAGACAGAGTCTAGGAACTCAATCCAAGTCTCCCACATGGGTGGCAGGGAGCCAATACTTGTGCCATCCCCTGCTTCCTCCAAGAGTATACATTAGCAGGAAGTTGGAATCGCAAGTGGCACTCTGACTTAAATCCAAGCACTTGGCTATGGGATATCGGCATCCCAAGTGGCAAATTAAGCACTGCTCCAAACCTCTATTGGTATTTTAATATTTTTTTCATCAGTCACTACAAAATGGGATGACATATTATGATGACTTAGCAGAATACTCTATTTTGTTTCAGATTCATCAGAATCAAAGAAGTAGGCCTTGCCAACCATGGAGCCATGGGGGAGGTTTCTCAAGCAAGGGCAGCATAGACAGTGGGTAGATAGATGGAAGTAGTAGCCACCAGCTCACTTTAGAAAGAATCAAGTGTTGAGAGGTGTCATTTGAAATATATGTTGATTTATACAGACTGTAAAGTGAATCTTTTTTCAGATAAACAAGAACTTCAGAACTGTCATTCACTTAAGGAGAACTGGAAACTAGAAAAATGGAGGAGAGTGGGGCGGGGAAAAGATTTTTATGCCACCCATTTTTCACTTTTATTTTTCATTTGTATGAATATGTTTCCTTTCAAATAAAGAGTTGGGGGCAGTGTTTGGCGCAGTGGTTAAGTTACCACTTGACTGCCCACATCTTCTATCAGAGTGCATGGTTCCAGTCCCACCTCCTCAACTTCTGATCTAGCTTCCCACTAATGAGCCCTTGGAAGCCAGCAGATGATGGCCCAGGTCCTTGAGTCCATGCCACCTGGGGACCTGAGCTCTGGGCTCCTGGTTTCTGCCAGCTCCAGCCCCAGATATTGTGAGCATTTGGGTAGTGAACCAGCAGGTGGACTATTTCTCCTTGTGTCTCTGCCTTTCTGTCTTTCCAGTAAAGTGAAAATAAATAAATAGAAATCAACAAATTATATAAGCAAATAAGTAGATAAATAAATATTTAAGAGAAACAGAAGGTGGCTTCCTTTAATTTTTATCTTGCTAAGGGGAGCATCTGTGTCTATACCTGATAGGAGCAGCAGAAACTCCTTGAATCTCAGAGAACTAAGAAATGAAACAATTCTTACTATTTCATGCTGTCTGTCCCTTGGTTGTGAGGGTGCAGATATTTCAGACAGAGAAAGCAACTACATAAATTAGCTGTCTTGACATGAACCAACTATTTATTCATGTCTAACTTTGTATAAAAATTGTGTTCTGTTTAAATGTGACCCATAGCTAAAGATGTGTGTAAGGATGGTAGGGGAGGTAGATCTTGCCCACAGAACTCATGGACCACAGTTGTTCAGACAGGTGCTATCAATCTGTACTTGAGCATGGGAATCGATGTCTTGGGTGGGAGAGGAGCCTTTAAAATAATTTCAGTAACCATGGGGTGAAAGGACAAGACAAGATTGGGGCAGAAAAGTGGCAGGCAGAAGAAGGCAGGAATGTCAAGCAGATGGACAGAGGTAAGTGGGTGGCTCAGAGAGGCAGCCATGTACTTAGGAACTAGAGCTCTGTAGAGCCATTTAAAAATTTTATGTGTGCTCCATTTCGTTTTTTTCCAGAACCATTCAGTCCTTGGAAATTGCTGACAGTTGTGTCCTGTGCATCTCTGTGGACCTAGTAGGGAAGTGTCTCCCTTGTGGCAATGGGAGACAGGAGGGTCATGACACGGAAGCTGCTAGAATGCAGTTTCAGTGACAAGTTGTGTGGTAAGTAAGATGTCCATCATCTGATCTTGGGGTTATAGAGACTGATGTGTGAATAGTTTCTAGGAAGACGATTTAATTTCTAGTAGAAATGAAAACAGTAGTAATAAAAGAATGGAGACTGGAAGCCATTGTCCTTGGTGGGAGGAGTGTCAATCAGAGATGCAGATGTCATATTGCTGTCTCTGTAGGAAAAATGACAAAGGAGGCACAGTGCAGGGCTTCTGATTAGAGAGTTTTTCTAGTAGTGCTGTTGAGCGGTAGCAGAGAAGATAAAGGTGATGCCCTTTCGTGCAAGATGTGCTGAGGACTGGTGTGTGCGTGTGTGTGTGTGTGTGTGTGTGTGGTGGGGAGGGGGTAGAGGGTATAGATTGTACGGCCATCAGGTAAGATTTCTTTATTTTCTTCTCTTCCTGCTTGATTGCCTACCCAGTTGTCCAAGAGGGGCAGTATGAAGTGATCATCGTCCCAGCTCTCTTTGTTGGTGCCTTCCTCATCCTCCTTGGAGTCATCCTGTGGCTTTTTATCAGAGGACAAAGAGCCCAACAGCAGCGCTCTGGACGCCAAGGTGAAGCTCAAAATTTGGGAAGGGAAGGGGCAAATAGAAGATGGAGAAAGAAAAGCACAGTCCTAGTTTCAATGTGCTCAAGTCTAGGAGTCTGGGTAACTTTGACGAGAGAGGCATGGATTTCCTCCTTTGGAATTGGTGGGGGATGGGGGGGGGGTCTTGAGTTGGAAACTCATTACAAACTTGTTGACTTAACAAAGAGTAGCAAAAGAGGCCTCAAGTGACAAGTTCTGTCCTCTCTGTCCTATTGGACTATCAAGCCTTTGACTACATGAATGTCTAAGGATGGACAAGTAAGACTTAGGGGTAAAGCCAAAGGTTTTATTAACATCCGTGGAGTATGACATTCTTCCTTGGTACATTCCATTCCTATTCTCTGCCTCCAAATGCATGATGAAAGGGAGTGACTGTCAACTAGTCTTTAAAGTATTAGGTACGGGATGACAACAGACTGACTGGCAGCACCATTGAACATATAATGAAAGAATCAGATCAAACAATAAATACTTATAGTGATATGAAGCCTGATAATGGCTGATCCTAATGCCCTGTTTACATTTTATTCCAACTCCCTAGTACTTAATTTTTATAGAAATTTTTTCAAAGTTGTCTAAACTCCCTCTTTTACTAGTCACATTCTCTTTAAACCCACTAAAATAAGGCTTTTATCCTTGTCATTCCACCAAAACAGCTGTTTCCAAACTCATTAAGACAGCCTACTTGACAAATCCAACGATTAGTTCTGTCTTTATCTCATTTGACCTGTCAAAAGCATTTGAAACACTTTTGCACATCCTCTTTCTTAAAATACATATTTTTAAAAACCTAAAATCACTTTCTAAATGGTATAATTTTAAGTTTTATAGATTAACTACTTTTCTTAATCTAATTATGATCCCTTGAACTCTAGATTCTTTTTTTTTTTTTTTGACGGGCAGAGTGGACAGTGAGAGAGACAGAGAGAAAGGTCTTCCTTTGCTGTTGGTTCACCCTCCAATGGCCGTCACGGCCAGCGTGCTGCGGCTGGCGTGCTGCGGCCGGCACACCGCGCTGATCTGATGGCAGGAGCCAGGTACTTCTCCTGGTCTCCCATGGGGCGCAGGGCCCAAGCACTTGGGCCACCCTCCACTGCACTCCAGGGCCACAGCAGAGAGCTGGCCTGGAAGAGAGGCAACCGGGACAGAATCCGGTGCCCCGACCGGGACTAGAACGCAGGTGGAGGATTAGCCTATTGAGATGTGGCGCCGGCTGAACTCTAGATTCTTATATCAAGCCATCTACTTGGCAGTTTGGATATAAAATGCATATCACCCACTATTTATTTAGATAAAATATGCATATCATATGTGCTATGTCCAAAACAGAGGTCCTGAAATTCTCTCATGAATGTCCTCCCCAAATAGTCTTTTGTATCTTAGTAAATGGCAAGTCCAATCTTCTAGGTGTTCAGTTGAAAACTTTGAAGATATCCTTCACTACCCCTCGCTCTCTCACATTCCATATCCAATCCATAAGCAAATCCTGTCGTGCCATCTTCAAAATAAACCCATCACTCTCACCTCTCACAGATCATTGTAATATATTCCTAAACTCTTTCCCTGCTTTTTCCTCTACTCTTTATGATTTACGCTTAAAATGTTCTCTTAAGTCACACGTCAATACTGCCAGTCCTCTGCTTCAAGTTCACCAGTAACTTCCTGACTTGCTCACAAAGGAAACAGGCAAAATTCTTTTGGTGGCCTTACAAGATCTGAGCCTGACTGATCTTATCTCATATGACTAATTCTCCAATGATCATGCTTGCCTGTATCTGCGTTGTTTTCTGTACTCTTCCTCAAATGTATGAAGGATGCTCTTTCCTCAGTGCTTTTGAACTTCTCATTCCCTTTGCCTACAGTGCTCTTCCTGACACAAGATTGGTTTACTTCCTCATTGCTTCTTGACATCCTTATATAAAATAGCCTCAGCAATGCTTCCTCTCCTTTTGTTATTTTCCTCCATATCACTCATTGCTTGGTATTTTATGATCTGTTTTCCTTGTTACCTATTCCCGACACCTGGAACAGCACCTGGCAGGCAGGAGGTGATATTTGTTATATAAGTGGATGAATTAATGAATGAATGGATATCTAATAAGAATGGACCTCTCTTTTCTAATTAGAGGAAAATTCATGCTGGCTAAGAGAGGGAAAGAACCAGAAGAAATTCTTGACCAAGACTCAGGGAAATATGGAAAAATTTGACTTCTGGGATGTCTTGAGGGAGTAATAATAAATCACAGCTTATAGCTGACTAGTTGTCCATACCTTTCCTCCAGTTTTGGAAGCTGTTTGACTTCAATGATCATCCTCACCAATAGTTATACAATCTATGGTGTAAGGATCTATTCAGTAACTTCTGTAATTGTCTCCAGACCATGCTAGCAAGTTATGCCAAGTTGTAATGCTGAGGAAAACAGAAAGGAAATGTTGTGATCACTTACAAGGGATCTGTCTTGTGATGCTTTAGAAGTAATGAGGATGACTGCAAAGCTTCTACAAGCTTGTTGTTGGTGCCAGTTCTTAGAGAAGGATTGGAAGACATATCCACTTAGGCTATAGAAAACTTTACTGGAGGAATTTTCTTCCCTTTTTTGTTCCAGGCTCTGCTTTCCTGGAGTTCCCAGACATGAAAACCTGCTTGATACCTTTTTTTTCCCCTTTGGTTCTAGGCATTGCTCCCATGCCATCATCCAGAGGCCTACGCTGGGAAGAAGCTGGGCAAGGAGGAAATGTGTGTGTGCCTCTTAAGGAGACTTCAGTGGAGAGCTTTCTACGAGCTAGAGCACCTGTCCTGGATAAGCTGCAGGTGCCCCGGGAGCAACTCTCTGAAGTTCTGGAGCAGATCTACAATGGTAGTTGTGGGCCCATCTATCGAGCCAAGAGGAACAGTGGGGACTCTTCTGCTAAACCCAAGAGTGTTGTCCTCAAAGCTTTGAAAGGTGAAATGAAAAGTATTATACTTACCTGCCTCCTATTTACTTTTCTACTGTGAGCCATTCTCAGTAAATGTTAACAGGCTCTGTAAACACAAGACGTGGATCCAGTAGATACTTAGGATTATGACTGTGTACAGAAGAAGAAGGGAACAGAGGATGGAAGCTTGAGACAGAATGTTCTTTTTGTATTCTTTATTTTCCTCACTTATTCTTGCCAACTGAGGCTGTTAGAACTGGTTTTTCCATATTGGATGTTACTTGGACCAGGATTGAGGCTATTGTCTCCAATATTCCATACCCTTTCCTAGTACTGTGTTCCTCTTCCTCTCCTCCTCCTCCTCTCATAATACAGACCAGCAATGCAGGGTACCTAAAATAGAAATGAGATAAGAAAAAGCAAGAATATCAATCAAAAGGCTTAGACAGTCATGATATTTTAATATGAAAAGGACATTTGTCTATAATTTTAGGAAGATGAAAGGTTACCCAGTTCTAAGGCTTATGATTCTGTGTGACCTTTGATGAAATATCAGTGACTTTGAGCATTGTCTTATTCTAATTGGTCCCCATTCTACTTATGTTTTGTCAGCACTACTTCCTCTCTGGGACCTTGACGATCATCTGAAGGTACTTCCTGCTCCATGCTCTGACTACTCCCTGCCCCGGCTCTTCTCTCCCTTGCAGAGTCAGCTGGGCTCCACGAGGTGCAGAATTTCTTAGGACAAATCCAATTCTATCAGTACCTGGGGAAACACAAGAACCTGGTGCAACTGGAAGGCTGCTGCACAGAGAGGCTGCCGCTGTATATGGTGTTGGAGGATGTAGCCCAGGGGGACCTGCTCAGCTTTCTTTGGACCTGTCGCCGGGTGAGCAGTGGGCTGGAGATATTAGAAGTGAAAGGATTTACTTGATGTATTAGCTGTTCACATGCCAATTAGAATGAAAAATTATAAAATACAGAGACACCATCATAGCATAACATGGATTTCAAAAACTATTTGCATTAGGAATGGCATTGTAGTGTAGCAGGTTAAGCCACTGCCTGCAGCGCTGGCAACCCCTGTGGGCACTGGTTTGAATCCAGGCTGCTTCACTTCTGATCCGGCTCCCTGCTGATGTACCTGGGAAAGCAGCAGAAGATGGTCCAAGTACTTGGGCCCCTGCATCCATGTGGTACACTTGGATGAAGCTCTTGGTTCCTGACTTCGGCCTGGTGCCTGGCCCAGTCCTGGCTATTGTGAACATTTGGGGAGTGAACCAGCAGGTGGAAGATCTCTTTCTCTCCCCCCCCCCCCAATCTGTGTAACTCCATCTTTCAAATAAAATTTTAAAAATCTTTAAAAAATAGTTTTTGCATCAAAATAATAATGCATCTTTTAATTCCATTTTGCACAAACTTTTTGAAATACCCTTGTATGTAACCATTTATTTATTCATGAGTCTTTGGTTCTGGCTCACAATAAGCCCCAGAGGCAGCAGCTAATGTTTACTTTGCTCACTTGTGTAGATCCAAGTTCTAACATGAGCTCTGGTATATGGCAGGCATGCAACAAAGAAATGTTCAGTTAGAGTGGATAATCTCTCTCTCTCTCTCTCTCTCTCTCTCAGGGACATACACATCTCCAGAAAAGTGGCTACTTTGTTCAGTGCATAGTCATATATGAAGATATTTGTCTTTCATCCTTGCTAGTCATCAACATTCTTCATTTTTTTTCATTCCAGTGAAAACCTCTGCATAACTGAAAACCTCTCATAGAAGCCTCTCCTTGAGTCTCTGTTCCTATATTTCTATATATTTTCCTTAGCTTTGATATCTGCATTTGAGAGTGTCTCTGCCCTATATTATTTCTAATCTGTGAATGCCACTTTGATATTGTGGGTTTTCTTCCTTCCCTCTCTTTAGGATGTGATGACCATGGATGGCCTTCTCTATGATATCACAGAAAAACAAGTGTACCACATTGGAAAGCAGGTCCTTTTGGCTCTGGTAAGACTGCCCAAAGTGACAATGGCTGCTAGGGTTATCTCTTGTTAGCCTGATATTTGATGCCATATTTCCCACATTCATATTACAAAATGGGTTATATATTTTAAAGAAAAGTATATAGAAGTTAGGTGCAAAAACTCAAGTATTGATATATCACTTCTAATCCCTTCATTATGAAATTATTTAGATAATATAGTACAGGATTGGTAACTCTAGACAAAAAGTCTATTTAGGTTATAGGAGAAACAAGAAGGATTTTATCAGGTAGCTTAGTCTTAAAGGTCAAAAGCTGGGCCAAAGTTGTGTGCTCATTTATCTGATACTCTTACTTCTCTGTATATATAACTAAACCAGCTGTAAAAGGGGCAAATAGGAAAGCAAGTTGGGAGATGACAGTGGAAGAGAAAATGAGAGGTGACAGACTACTGAATCAGGAGGAGGGAAGCAATTTTACACCTCAAGAACAAGAAAAACTAGTTCAGAACACATTTCACTGGAGACTTGCATTTGCAACTGATATGATAAGGACTACATATACTTCAAGAGAGGAGGAAGAACAAGTGGAAGAAAAGGAGTGACAAGGGGTGACAATGAAATAATTCCTTCATTTTAAGCCAATTTAGGAGGTAAGACAAAAAAAAAAAAAAAACTCAGAATTTTAGAGGAAAAAAATCACCTTTACCAGAATTATCCTGAAAATTTAGATGATTATTTCTGTGAAATTATTTCAATAATTGTGCTTAAAAGTAACATTTTCTATAAAATATCAGGGCTCTATGAAACTATTTTAAGTATTTGATTCATTTTACAACCTAGAAGAGTGAAATATACTAGGGATCACAATGGAATCAAGAAGTCTGAGGGGAAAAAATGAGGCAGTGAGGTGAGAAAAGGGAAAGTTTCCATGGGAGAAAGGAGATATCTGATCATATTAATTAATCCCCTGTATCTGATCCAGCTTTCTACCCATACACTTGGGAGGCAGCAGATAATGGTCCAAGCACTTGGGTTCCTGCCTCCCACTTGAGAGACTCAGATGGAGTTCTTGGTTCTTGGCTTTGGCCATCTCAGTTGTGGATATTTGGGGAGTGAATCAGTGGATGGAAGATCTCAATCTCCCTATCTCTCTCTGTCACTCTAATAAATAAATAAAACAAAAATAACCATGGAAAAAATAAAAGATACTTTCCAAACTCACTCCATCCACTTATTTAAACCATTTAAATCTTTATATAAATTCATTGTTATGACATTCAACTTCATTATGTATTTATTTTTTCATTTTTGGGACTACTGCTAAAAACTTAGAACCTGTTCTCTTTTCCAGTTTCTAGCAGGAATCTACCAGACAGGAAAGTGAGAGAAAGCAAGGGTCAAGGTTTGACTCAGAGCAGGTGAATATGCTTTTCAAAATGCAGTATTAGTGTCATTTGGATTATGTGCTCAGTTTGGTGAACCTGAACAGCCTGCAAAAATGTCTGATTCATCAGCGTGGTTTGGAAGTGACTTGTCATTCTAAATGATACTCGTGCATAGTAGAAAATGCCCTCGCCTCACTGAGGCTCCCTAGCACTGTCTTTCCTCGTCTCTGACCCAAGCCCTGATCATGTTCATGTGTTCGGTCCGTAGGAATTCCTGGAGGATAAGCATCTGTTCCATGGGGATGTGGCAGCCAGGAACATCCTGATCCAAAGTGATCTAACTGCTAAGCTCTGTGGGCTGGGCTTGGCTTACGAAGTCCACACCCAAGGGGCCATCTCCTCCGCTCGGACCATACCTCTCAAGTGGCTCTCCCCAGAACGACTTCTCCAGAGACCTGCTGGCATCAGAGCAGACATGTATGGTTTGTTTCTGCCCATAAGTTTCTTTCCTTTATGGGCTGGTATCTTTCCTGAACATGACTGGGTTTGTTGCCCATTGCATCTACAAATGAAAGCTCTACTGAGAAGTCAGAAAAGCAGTGTGATGGAGCTCATGTCTTGCATCTGGCTGCACTCTTTGTTAGTGCCTTTTCGGTATTCCTTCTGCTTTAGCAGCCTTCATTAGGAAAGAAAAACGAAATGATTACTCACACCAGTATCTGAGGACTTAGCCCAGCAGAATCTCTTATCTAAAGAAGGTGAGGCCAGTTGTTCCAAAGGCCAGGCAAACTAGGAATTAGCAAAATAATATACATACCTCAAATAATTTATTTTAACCTAGAATATATAAATGTATATTTGCCAATCTTTTAGAATTTTTTTATTTATATAAAGGGAACACATTTCATATATTTCATATATACAGTTTTAAGAGCATAATGATACTCCCCACCCTACCCTCCCTCCCTCCTTCCTTTCTTATTTTTCTTTTAACTTTTACAATGACATACTTTTATTTGTCAGTCTTTCAATTTTTCTGAATGTTCTACTTGTCTCAAATCACAACACCTGTTTTTAGCAGCATATTTGTTTGGAATACTTTAAAGCAGTAAACTTAGTTTTCAGGGCGATAACACTCTTGTGCATTCATATTTAATCATTTGTATACTGTTTACTGGATTACATAATTACCCTAATTACAATCAGTTGTACAACAGACATGAACAGGATTGAAAAGAATCACAAATGACTATCGGTGACTACACAACTCAGCTGCTTGGGCTGGCGCTGTGGCTCAATAGGCTAATCCTCCACCTAGCGGCGCCGGCACACTGGGTTCTAGTCCCGGTTGGGGCACCAGATTCTGTCCCGGTTGCCCCTCTTCCAGGCCAGCTCTCTGCTGTGGCCCGGGAGTGCAGTGGAGGGTGGCCCAAGTGCTTGGGCCCTGCACCCCATGGGAGACCAGAAGCACCTGGCTCCTGCCTTTGGATCAGCGCGGTGCACCGGCCGCAGCGTGCCAGCCATGGCAGACATTGGAGGGTGAACCAATGGCAAAAGGAAGACCTTTCTGTCTCTCTCTCTCACTATCCACTCTGCCTGACAAAACAAACAAACAAACAAAAAACAAAAAACACTCAGAACTCAGCTGCTTGAAGAAGCGCATAGGTGTCATGCTGACTGTCCCATTAGCCATGATCATCATAAGCAGCAGAGGAAATATAGGACACCTGTTAATACGGAGGGTCAATTAAAAGACTTCCACTGCTGCTTCACTGACATCTTCTTTGTGATAGACATCTGGAGGTAATGGGAATACTGATTCAATGATGCTATTGTAAAATAGCGACATACATTTCTCAAGTCATATTCCTTAGGTAAATACCTATTGCAACTACATTTAAAGATTGCTCTGTTAATAGCTTTCCTAGGTTCAAACAATGAGCTATACTAAGGAAATAGTGGATAAACAGGCCTTGTACTAAGACTAAATGTTGGTGGAACCTCAGTGGAGAGGGATTGGAAGGATGAAAATGACACAGAGAGAAATTTTTTATGTTTAGGTGAGTGTGTGTGATTGCACACATGTGCATTTGTGTGTTGGCAAAGAATAGTAAATGTCTGTTTTTGTGAATATTCATGTGAGATAGGAAAGAGACACTGATACAGTCTTCAAATGCCTTCTAATGGTATTATTACTCTGCTTGTTTTATCAGACACCCTGGGTTCTCTGTCATTATCTTCCTGACGGGGTTCTTACTGAAGGCTTCAGATACTTAAGTGTCTTTAGGGAAGGCAAAAGTAGACATTAAATGGGTGGATTTGTTTCTCTTGCAGTTGGTCTTTTGGGATCCTGCTATATGAGATGGTGACTCTAGGTAAGAGTGGTCCCCAAAGCATTGTGCAGATAAGCAAGAATGTTTATTTGGGGGCTGGAGGATGTGTGCTTTGAGAAAGGGTTTCGGTATAAGCCTTGAAGTATGAATTGGATTAACATGAAATTCAAGACTGATACCTGAGAAGTGTTGCAAAGTGATTGTCCCCCCCCTCCTCCCACCCTCCCTCTTTGTCCTTCTCTTAACTTTTACTCTCTTCCTCTTCTCTCTCTTCTTCCTTCCTTCTTTCCTTCCTTCCTTCCTTCCTTCACCAATTTCAAGGGATGTTTTCAAATCCGAAGAATAATTTCCAAAGTGATCTTGCATAAACATAAAAAATATTTTATTCAGGCTTTTTAATCCATTTTATTGAGAAATTGTAGCACCTTTTCATGTTATGGGTAGTAGGTGGTAGGCCTTATTCCTTTGCATTATTTTATCACTTTCTTAAAGACTCAAAATTTCTCTTTTATCAGTTTTTCCCCAAAACATCTTTCCTCAAAATTTTCTAAACTACATCCTTACCTGATCACTGGGAGCAACTATATTGGATCCAGTATTTTTCCTGTGACTATACCTTCTGTGGGTGATTAAGGGAATGGACAGTAATGTTAGTTATCATTAATACTTTAGTGTGTTAAGCTCTAAACTCTTTTGCTTTTCGGGTTCTTCCTGTGCTGCCAGGAGCACCACCATATCCTGAAGTCCCTCCCACCAGCATCCTGCAGCATCTCCAGAGAAGGAAAATCATGAAGAGACCCAGTAGCTGCAAACACACCATGTACGTGGGTTTTAAAGGCCTTCTCTTTGCTCAATTCAAATCTTTCTTGCTCCCTACCCAGTGTGCCGTTTTCAAAGTGACTTAGATGACCCTCAGCTGTCCTTAGATGATAATTTGTAGCCTTCGACCAAACCCATACAGTGAAAACATGTCTGCTCCTATGTCACGGATGCATACACATCCTATACACATATCAAGATACTTGAAAAATTTATGGAAAATGGAATTAAAGGATAAGTTATTTTAATATAAGATATTTTTGAATTCCATGCATAGGTTTTCATAATGTGCATTTTCCACGAATATTTTTTAAAAAGATTTATTTATTTATTTATTTGAGAGAGAGAGTTACAGACAGAGACAGAGAGGTCTTTTCTCTGCTGGTTCACTCCCAAATGACTGCAACGGCCAGAGCTGAGATGATCTGAAGCCAGGAGCCAGGAACTTCTACCAGGTGTCTCACGTGGATGGAGGGGCCCAAGCGCTTGAGCCATCTTCTACTGCTTTCCCAGGCCATAGCAGAGAGCTGAATCAGAAAAGCAGCAGCTGGGACATGAACCAGAGCCCATATGGGATGCCAGTATCACAGGTGAAGGCTTAACCTACTGTGCCACAGCACCAGCCCTCATATATACATGGATTTCATTTTTTTTTTGCACCAAAATGAACTTGTATGTTAACTTAATTTCCACCAGTTTTTAAAAGTACCCTCTTATATATACATATATGTATGTATGTTTGTGTGTGTGCATATATATATATATATATATTTCTGTTCCCCTCTGATGTTGAAGCAACCACTGAGAAGCATATGAGAAATCTGAGTTTGATCAAATTTAGTTCCACAGGGACGTTTGAAAATTGATAGAGTGCAGACCAAACTCAGTGCAAGAGCAATGGTGTTTTACTTGTCTAAATATCAGTGTGCTGCCAGCTTCAGTTCAAAGATAGCAGATGATAAAATTCATTGCATTGCAATTACTCATTCTGGCTATAATGGCTCTTATTTAATATTTAACTTTTTGAAACTAATGACTTGTGTTTTCCCAGCTCCCAGCAGATAGAAGCCTAACAGAAGAGGGAAAGTAAGAAGAAATTAGAAAGCAGCAACAGGAGGATCCAATAGTGTCGGCAGGAAGGGACAGCTGGTAAACCAACTTGGAAGCAGACAGTGAAACAAAATTACCACCAGTAGTTTAAAAGGGACTATTAGAAAACATAAGGAAAGTTTCAATTGTGTCTAGGAAGGCAACTAATATGCTAATGAATATTTGTATGACAACTGTTGCTATTTTGTAATTTGTCAGCATGGAAGGGTTAAGTTTCCAACACCTGGTTTTCCCTACAATAAACAGTTACTGTATTGAGCTGATTATAATGTTTAAATATCTTAACTACAAGCACACACACACAGAGTGTAATAATTCTGGCTGACAGGTATTTCTTCTATGTTTTCTTGTATGGCTGTCCTTGCGGTGGAAGCTTAGCCTTACAGCTAAGATGCTGGTTAGGATGCAAGCACGCCATTATTAGTATGCCTATGTGTGATCCGCAGCTCCTGATCTTAGTTTCCTGCTAATGCAAACCTTGGGAGGCAGTGATGATGGCTTAAATAATTGGGCTCCTACTGCCCACAGGGGAGACTTGGATTGAGTTCCTGGCTCCCAGCTTCAGCCTAGCTGAATCAATGATGGGAGCTCTTTCTATCTCTGTCTCTCTGTCCGTATGTCTCTCTGCCTCTGAAATATATACTTTTTTGACAGGCAGAGTGGACAGTGAGAGAGACAGAGAGAAAGGTCTTCCTTTTCCGTTGGTTCACCCTCCAATGGCCACTGCTGCCGGCGCATTGCGGCTGGCGCACCCCGCTGATTGGAAGCCAGGAGCCAGATGCTTCCCCTGGTCTCCCATGTGGGTGCAGGGCCCAAGGACTTGGGCCACTCTCCACTGCACTTCCCGGCCACAGCAGAGAGCTGGACTGGAAGAGGAGCAACCGGGACAGAACCCGATACCCCAACCAGGACTAGAACCCGGGATGCCGGTGCTGCAGGTGGAGGATTAGCCTATTGAGCCGCGGCACCGGCTGAAATATATAATTTTTTAAAGGCTGTTCTTTATACTAGGGGAGACACCTGACAAAGTGCATGACCTTACAGAACTTAATTTTTTTTTTTTTTTGAAAAGCAGAGTTACAGAGAAGAAGGAAAAGGGAGAAAGAGAGGGGAAACAGAGAGGGGGGAGAGGTGGAGAGAGAGAGAGAGAGAGAGAGAGAGAGAGAGAGAAACTTTTTTTTTTTTTCGACAGGCAGAGTGGACAGTGAGAGAGAGAGAGAGAGAGAAAGGTCTTCCTTTGCCGTTGGTTCACCCTCCAATGGCTGCCACAGCCGGTGCGCTGCGGCCGTGCACCGCGCTGATCCGATGGCAGGAGCCAGGTACCCATCCTGGTCTCCCATGGGGTGCAGGGCCCAAGTACTTGGGCCATCCTCCACTGCACTTCCTGGCCACAGCAGAGAGCTGGCCCGGAAGAAGGGAAACCAGGACAGAATCCGGTGCCCCGACCAGGACTAGAACTTGGTGTGCCGGCGCCGCTAGGTGGAGGATTAGCCTAGTGAGCCGCGGCGCTGGCCAGAACTTAATGCTTTAATGAGGAGATCACTGAAATCACATGAAAAGCCAACATAAAGTGTGGGGCGATACAGTAAATGGTTAAAAGCTCCATCTTGTATTACAGAATAAAAAAGGTATACATCCAGTCCTAGCACTGCTGGTTTAGCATACACTATGCATTTTTTAAACTACAAAGAGTATGGCAGAACACTTTTTTCCACTCTGCATTGTCCAGTAAATGAGAGGAAACCAGAGTGATGTTGTTGTGAATGTTTGTGGGAAGGGGTACTCTCTCTCCTCATACACTTGCCTAGTCAAATTTCTCTTGTTCGCCTCTCAGGTATAATATTATGAAGTCCTGCTGGCGCTGGAGTGAGGACAGCCGCCCTCTGCCTAGAGAGCTGCGTGTGCGCCTTGAAGCTGCTGCTAGAACTGCAGATGACAAGGCTGTGTTGCAAGTGCCAGAGTTGGTGGTGCCTGAACTGTATGCAGCCGTGGCCGGCATCAGTGTAAACAGCCTCTCCTACAGCTACAGCATCCTTTGACGGCCCCACCCCCCACTCCAGCAGGAAACACTCATGGACGACTGTATGCTCTTCGAAACAGTTTTCCTCCAAGAACAAAGAACAGACTTTCTGGGGGAGAGATAAAGGGAGAAATGGGACAAGCATTCTGGATCTCTCCCTAACCATTTCCCTAGAATTCTAAAATGATGTTGGATGAGGCTCTCCACACATATCTCTTTGAGCTCAGGAATTCGTTATCAGTCCCATTTTGATAGACCCTGGGGGAGCAGTGGTGGAAAACGTTACAGCCCAGCAGGTATCAGAAATCTGCAGTGTTTGTTGGGACATGACAAACATGAGCTGGTATCTCCCACCCAAGGTTAGTTTACTCCTGAAGAATGTTTTTATCTAGACTCCTACAAAGTCCAGAGGAACAGAAATCCAATGAGAGAGTGGATGAGAAAGAATATACAAGATTTAATTTGCTTCAGGAGTGTAGGTGTGGACCCAAATCTGTGTATGTGTGTGTGTGTTTGTGTGTATGCACATGGGTGTAATGAATAAGGATTGTGATGGCTAAGTATGAAGGTTTGGTGGTTTAGAAGTCTTTAAGAGGGGTTAGAAAAGCATGTATGTAATCTGATATGGAAGGATGGTAGCTTCATGGTGAAATATCATTAAATTAATACTCATTAAATGGAAGTACGATTTTCTGGTTCACAGCTGCCAAAGTATTTCTACAATAGAGAAGATAAAGGTAAATGCCTAGAAGTTAATTCAACAGAAAAATTTAAGGGACAACCTACATTGTCAGAAAAGGGATTCTTTATGTGTGAAATGGGGATAATATCCAACTCACAGAAGGATTGAATGAGAGTATGTATTTGTGCAGTGTCTGGCATAAAACAGTGCTCAATAAATGTTAGTTTCCTGTCTTGTGCCCTTCCTAACCCAGAATCTTCCAAATAGATTTCATATAAAATCTGTGACCCAGAAGAAAGCCTTGGTCTGTGACAGTACAAAGCTGGAAAGGCCTGTAGATAATGGCATGGTACAACAAACAACACATGAATAAAATGGTAAAGTCAATGTTTTTCAAAAAAGTATGTATGTATTTGAGAGAGAGAGAGAGAGAGAGAGAGAGAGGGAAATAGAGAATATCAAGACATCCTATCCACTGGTTTACCCTCATGCCTGTAAGAGCTGGTGCTGGGCCAGGCCAAAATCAGGAGCTGAGAACTCAATCTGGGTCTCCCACATGGGTGGCAGAGATCAAAGTGCTTCAGCCATCACCCGCAGCCTCCCAGGATGTGCATTAGCAGGAAGCTGGAGTCTAAAGCAGAGTCAGGACTCAAACCCCACACTCCCATATGGGATACAGGCATCCCAAGTGCTATCTTAACTGCTGCCCCTGATGTCACCATTTTTGTGTGAACTTCTGGATGACAATAATATTCCTATTTCAAAATATTAAAGATAGGGGTCGGCACTGTGGCATAGTAGGCTGGGCCTCTGCCTGCAGCACTGGCATCCTATATAGGTGCTGGTTTGTGTCCTGGCTCCTCTTCCAATCCAGCTCTTGGGTCCTGGCTTCGGATTAGCTCAGTTCTGGCTGTTGGGGCCACTGGGGAGTGAATCAGTGGATGGAAGACCTTTCTCTGTCTCTCCATCTCTGTCTCTCAAATAAATAAATACAAAAATTTTAAAAAATATTAAAAGTATCATGATGAGAGCAAATCTGTTGAATATGATGATCTGTAATTTTAAAGAACACTGGGCTGGAGGCCAACATTGTGGCATAGCAGGTAAAGCTGCTGCCTGTGACCCCAGCATCCCATATGGGCGCCGGTTTGTGTCCTGGCTGCTTGGCTCCACTTCTGATCCAGCTCTCTGCTATTGTGCACAAAAAGCAGCAGAGCATGGCTCAACTGTTTGGGAGACCTGGATGAAGCTCCTGGCTTTGGCCTGGTCCAGCCCTGGCTCTTGTGGCCATGTGAGGTGTGAACCAAAAGATGGAAGATCTCTGTCTCTCACTCTCTCTCTCCATCTCTCTAACTCTGACTGTCCAAGTAAGTAAATTAAAAAAAAAATAGAATGCTGGGATCTAAAGCTGCTGAAGGAAAAATGACAGCTAAAAATGATGTAGGAGTTGGAAACTTGATGGAGTCATGATGAGTTAGCCAAATAAAGACTGATTCTGTTACTCCTGGAAACTTCTCAATGATTTGTTGGGATTTAAATGGGCAGTGGATGGCAATAGAAGGGAGGTAGAGTGGCTTGGAACAAACAATAAGTTTCTGGGGAAATTCCATTGTTTCTCAGATGTTCCTTTAAGTCAAATTTACAAAGTATTTATTTGTTCACGTACTTAAAATGAAACTTTTAAATGTTTATTTATTCATTTGAAAGGGAGAGACAATGATAAGGAAGCAGAAATATTGAGAAGTCTTCCATCTGTGAGTTCATTCCCCAAATGCCCACGACAGCAGAGGCTGGGGCAGGCTTAAGTCAGGAGACAACAAACAACACATGAATAAAATGGTAAAGTCAATGTTTTTCAAAAAAGGGATCCTATCTGGGTCTCCCACAGGGGTTGCAGACCCCAAGCACTTGAGCCATCATCTGCTTCCTCCCAGGGTGCACAGATTAACAGGAATCTGGATAGGAAGTGGCGATGAGACTTCAATGCAGGCACTCCAATATGGGATGCAGCATCCCAAACAGCAACTTCTCCCACTGCGCTGCCATAGTCACACAGATACTGAATACTGACTCACTGTGCCAGACACTGGATGCCAGGTGTTGGATAAAAAAATAAATAAAAACAAGGAGATTTTTGATTAGTTCAGAAGCTAAGAGACTGTATATTTATTTGTGTGGGTATCTTTTAGTTACAAATTATATTAAGCACTATCAAAAGAAATCATAGGATAGAAAGAAGTATGCTGTATCTTTGAAGATACAGCATTTAACTTGAGACCTTAGGGATGGGTAGGGAAGACAGTGGGAAGAGCCTTCCAGGAATGCACTACATTGGTGAAAACTCCAGGGCAAGAAGCATTGTTTGAGGAACTTCAAGGAAGCATAGGGGCTGCACATGGTGAGAGGGATAGTGGTACAGTGAAATGCAGAATGAACCTTTCAAAGGATCCATGCATATTTGTTTTGGTAGGAGGGAAAGAAGCAGACAATTAGCATTTTAAACTTTACCCTAATTTATTTATTTTCCTGAATATAGGCCTGGAAAAATGGAAACAGGAACTCTGATCCTTAGAAACCAGTAACTTCTCCTCACTTGGCTTTTTTTGAAAGGAGGATTTTGTGTCTGAGGGTTTTTTTTTTTTTTAAAGATTTATTTTATTTATTTGAACAACAGAGTTACAGAGAGAGGTGGAGGCAGAGAGAGAGGTCTTCCATCCACTGGTTCACTCCCCAGAGGGCTGCAATGGCTGGAGCTGCGCCAATCCAAAGCCAGGAGCCAGGAGCTTCTTCCAGGTCTCCCATGTGGTGCAGGGGCCCAATGACTTGGGCCATCTTGTACTGCTATTCTAGGCCATAGCAGAGAGCCGGATGGAAGAGGAACAGCCAGGACTAGAACCGGTGCCCATATGGAATGCCGGCTTCAGGCCAGGGCTTTAACCTGCTGTGCCACAGCGCTGGCCACATATCTGAGGTTTTATTTCTGGTATCTAGATATTTTATAGACAAAACTAGGTACTTCAAAGGTAATGAATGCAAAACAGAATTAAAACAGTCACCATTTAATCAAGTGGAATTCATATTTTTATTGTTTTGAACAGCCTTCCTACAGTTTTGTTTTTATGCTCTATATTAAAAAAATAACAACAGTTAGGAACTGGGCAAACATATGCCTAGGTAAAGCGGCTAAAGGAAACTTAACAATCTAGTTTTGCATAGAATAATATGAACTGGCAGTTACTGTTATGGAAACTGAATAATAGTGGCACTTTTCACCATTTTTAAAAGAAAAAAGTTAATAGAAGTTTCTTGAACTTAAGCTTGTTGACCTAATTCAAAAAAAATTTTTTTTGCTTTACCACACTGATTTACTTAAATAATCAAGTAGCTATTACAATGGAAGACCAGAGGACCTCCTATTATTCTTAATTTAACAATCTATTTGAAGCACAATAGTTAAAGGTTATGCTATGTCTTTGAAGCTGTACTCTGCAAAAAAAGTTCTTAGATTGGATAATGGAATTAAATATAGCATCATATCATTATAACCTAGATATAGCTCCATGTGCTCACCATACATAAACATATCTGATAAAAAAATGATATGGTAAGTTTGATGTTTCTGCATGATGGTGAGTCTCTTACTTAGAAAGAAATATCGCTGAGTAGTTTAAAACAAACAAAAGATAGGCTAAAATCCATAAGGGATGTCCATTACAAAAAAGAGAAAGGTAGGTAGATGGAATAAGGACCGAAAGAGGCTAACTCATTCTTCCTTTTTCTCATTTTAAACCACTTTATTAGCATGCTCTGTTAGAACATATATATTTGACTTACTACTCTGATCCATTTAACGGGATGAGATAGGCCTGACTGCTTTCACAAAGTCAAAGCTAATCAAAAAATAATGATACAGTAAACCAAACAAAAACATTAGACTATTATCTACAGTGTTTATTACAATGAAGGTAGAACATACTTCTGAAAATCAGAAGTCAGAATAATTTGGCTCTTTTAAATAAAGAGGCAAAAAAGAATTTGGAGGACACATGGGACATAAAAGTGTGATCAAATGAAGAGAGAACTTTCTATGTAGGAAAAATCAGTAGAACATTTTAAATGTTAACAATTATAAGATATAACTTTCTTTGGTGATAGCCCCCTAAATTGATTCATCACCTTGAAGCTCAAGGAAAAGAACATAGAAACTCTACAGAAGAATCATTATTGTGTCAATGAATATTGTATACCTGAACAAATATTAGGCTCCATTTCAGTTAGAATTGGTAATAAAACATTCCTTATCTACTTCACAGGTGCTTTGAAGTTGACCACTCTGTTAGCAAGGACAAAAATAGTGCTTTGGCTTCATTTTAGTAGCTCAAACTTTTTTTTTCCATAAGTAAACTGTGGAGTTATCATTAAGTCTGCACTAATTTGAAGCAACTGAGATTGAAAAACAGTTACAGGGGCCAGTGTTATAGCACAGTGGGTTTAGCCACCATGGCTTGCTACACTGGCCTCCAATATCAGAATGCCAGTTCAAATCCCAAATCTCTGGTCCCAATCCAGCTCCCTATTAATTTACCTGGGAAGGCAGCTGAGGATGGCTCAAGTACCTGGGCTTGTGCTACTCATGTGGGAGACTCAGGTGGAGTTCGTGGCTCCTTGCTTCTGCTTGGCACAGTCTTGGATGTTATAGCCATTTGAGTAAACCAATGATTGAAAGATACCTCTCTCTCCCCCCACGCCTCCCTCTCTCCTTCCCTCTCTTTCAAATACATACATACATAAATTTTGTTTATAAAAACACCCACAAAATATTTTCATGAAAAGTTTCCTATATCTGTGCTGACCAACACAATAGCTACTAGTCACGTGGAGTTCTTTAACTGGTAATCAAAATTAATCAAATTAGGAATTCTGTTCCTGGGGCAGGCATTTGGCACAGAGATTTAAGACGCCACTTGAGATGCCCACATCTTATTATCAGAGTGCCTGGTTGGAGAGAGTCCCAAGCCCCTCTGCTTCCAATTCAGCATTCTAGTAATGCACACCCTGGGAGGCAGCAGGTGATGGCTCAAGTACTTGGTTCCAGGCCACCATATGGGAGACCCAGATTGATTTCTGGCTGGGTATTGCGAGCATTTGAGAGTAAGCCAGCAGGTGGAAGATCTTTGTCTTTCTGCCTTTCAAATGGAATGAGCATTTAAAAATAATAAATAAAAATATGAAAGAATTCAGTTATTCAGTGACATGAGGCACATGTGATCAAAGTGTGATCACTTTGTAGTTCTTGTCCTGACACAATGGGTACACTTTTGCTTTAAGATATGAATAGTTGGAGGCCAGTGCTGTGGCACAGCAGAAAAAGCCATCACCTTCAGTAGTGGCATCCCATACAAGCATGGGTTCTAGTCCCAGCTGCTGCACTTCCAGTCCAGCTCCCTGCCAATGTGCCTAGGAAAGCAGCAGAACATAGTCCAAGTGCTTGAGCCCCTGCACCCATGTGGGAGACCTGGAAGAAGCTCCTGGCTTTGGTTGTTGCAGCCATTTGCGGAGTGAAGCAGAGGATGGAAGATCTATCTCTTCCCCCTTTCTCTCAGTAACTCTGCCTTTCAAATAAACAAATCTTTAAAAAAAAAAAAGATATGAATAGTCAGGTAAATATAGTTCTGTATTTCATCTTTAAAAAGTGGATTAGTCTTGAACTCTTAAGTCTTCTTAGGGGATCAACACAGTAACTGATCTACAAAGATCAGTGCATTCCATAAATTCTATTTACATAGTCACAAATTCTGGTATCCACAGCTGTATTTAGGCATACCTAAAAATAAACATGGGCCATGTGCCAAAATCTGAAGAATATACATCAGAGAATCTGAAGATATTGAATGAAGCTTCTCATGTAATTCAACTAGATGGACCACAACCAGTATTTTCAGAAATACTATGAAATATTATGCTCAAGTTTATGTGAATTAATCCTGGGTAACCAACTCACCCCATCTTTCCTGGGACTCTCCAGGTTTTAAAGCAGGAAGTTTCATATCACAGGAACCTGCACAATCCAGGGCAAATTGGACTGGCAACTTAACCTAGTGGTATGGCTTGGTGCTTTATTTTTCTTTTGTGTTTTCAAATGGTGGTCTATAGTAAGAACTGAATCATTTTTCCTGATAAGTAATTATACAACTGTTAACATAGTCTCAAAATAATCTGGCTGAATCATCCTTTCTAGTCACTCCACTTCCATGAACTTTACCTTCCAGCTACCCTGAGTTTCTTGGCATGCGTTTTCACACCACCTTGTTTTAGCTCATCCTCTGGTTGGAATGCTTTTCCATTGGCATACAGAATTCACACATCAAGGCCCAGTTCAAATAACATCTCTTTTCACAAGCCTTCTCTGATACTTCCCTTTCTTCGAATTTTCCTACTGCACAGCAGAATGGCTTCCTGTGCTGTGTTACCAGCTGTTTTACACTTAGCACTTTATTATAGCAGTCGCCCCCTTGTGCTCGGGTTTGTCTTACATGTTTGCTTTCTTTTCTAGGCTACAGTGCAAACGGCTTTTTTCTTTTTACTACCATTGTCCAACTGTCTCTGGCACACAGGAAATGTCTGCTAAGACTCATGTCTTACAAATTGCAGTTTTGTTTTTTTTTTTAAACATAATAATCTCATCCAATCTTCTCAACAGTCTGTGGGCTTGGCAAAGTCCATTACCACACAATTCTCTGACAAACAAGCTTAGAGGAAGTGACTTGCCCAAGATTCGGTAGGGCTACTGTTGGGATTGAAATCTCCGTCTTCTTTTACTGAATCCCACCGAAGTCTGTTTGTCCTCCAATAGATAAGTTTCCTCTGTGCATTGCTAAGAAGGGGTAATCAGGAACGGTGAAAGCAGACTGTATAAAAATCCATCCTGCTCTCCTCTGCCCTCTAAAACTATCCCACACAGGAGTGTTCTTTCCTATTCCCAATGCACGGATTCCAAACCTTACTTGCTCTAAGTCAAACCGCAAACACTCCACAGGCTTCTAAGCCCTTACCGAATGAACGAAGTACCTCGATGTTCTACTATTGAAAGGACTCTGACAGACTGCCGGGTCCTTTCAGCTTCACGTGTTTTTCAAAACCTCCAGCCTCTCGTCCGATGGATAACCAGCATCGTTATCCAAACGGGGAAGGCCCCAAGTAGGACCCAACCAGGAAGGAGAAACAAGCCGCACCCTCGGGTCAGCTACCCCACCTCCGGCCTTTATCTTTCCTCCTCCCACCGGGTAGAGGGGAATGAAGCCACACCCACGTCACAGCCTATCGCGAGAACTGGGAGCCCCTCTCTAGTCACCCCCCAGAAAAGCTATTTAGTTTTAAAATGCTATTATATTTTCACACTTCCATTCTTTGCTAATGTAAAGTAAGCTACTTCATTTTGAAAACAGTACGTGTTCGATCCTACTAAAGGAATCCCACTCCGGGCCTTTCACGCTCACCTCCGGGCCTTCCCGGAGACGCAAGGGACGCGCCCGCGATGACGCACTTAGCCTGCGCGGATGACGTCACTGCCGGGCGCCGGGAGGCACGTTGGCCGGGCTTTGGGCGGGCTTGTCTGGGAGCAAAGATGTCTATGGCTAGTGATTTCTACCTGCGCTACTATGTAGGGCACAAAGGCAAGTTTGGACACGAGTTTCTGGAGTTCGAGTTTCGGCCGGACGGTAAGCAATGTCGGGGCCGCTGGCACCGCTACACTGAAAAGAAAGGCAGGCGGAGAGGCAGCGGAGGAGGCTCCCAGGATGGGGTGAGCGCGCCTCGGTGGGCTCGTAGCTTGCCCCTGCTTCCCTTGAAATAAAGAAGAGTCTAAGCGTATAGGAGACCCTCGCGGTGTCTGCGAATAAAAGGGAACTGCTGTACATTGAGCGAGGAAAACTAACCCTGCCGCGGACTGAAATGTAGTCAGTAGTCAGAATCCTGGAATCCGCGCCCTAGAAAGGATTTTGAGAGGCGTGGAGTAAGTAGGTCGTCGACCTCATGCTTGAACATTTTTAAGAGCGCCCCCACCAAGTAACTTCATAACTGTGACGCCAGCAACTTTCTGCCCACCCATTCATTCATTTTCTTCATCAGGCCTGTGTGCGGAAGCAGACCGCCGGGTAAACAAATGAAGAGAATGAGTTTTATCTATGTGCTTAATTGCAGTTCGCCGTGGAGTGCATTAAGAGTGGAAAAAAAAAAAAAAAGAGAGAGAGAGGCTGGTTCTACTGGGGTGGGGGGCGGGGGAGGAGGGGTTCTCATAGGATGAGCGCCTGACCCGACCCTTGTAATGAGTGATACTAGGTGTTTTTTGTTGACCTTTGAGAGGGAAATAGACTGAGACCATGAGCTGACGGCTCGGTGAGACTGCTACCTGTTGGCCGCCAGCAGCTCTGTCTTTTGACTCCTCTTTAGAGCGTGTTATTGTCCGTTGAACGCAGTTGACCTCCAACAAGGGCCGTTCAACTGGATAGGTTTTCATTGTTTGCACACCAAATGCTGAGCAAGATGTAAATACCAAAATTGAGAATACATTAATGAAGAAGGCTTTAATTTCCCTCAAGGAGTTATGTCGTGGTGGGAGATAAAGACGTGTAACAAAGCATAAAGCGGTGTGGATAGTAAGTACTCTGTGCTTGTTTTGGACAAGGTTCTGTGAGAGTCTGAAACAAGATTTAGAGGGGAAATCACATGTGAGACGAGGGAAGCGTGTCAGGCATTTCAGGCAGAACTCAAGGTAACTACAGCCCTGTAATTATTTGGAAACCTTAATCACTTTATTCATCTGCACTCTCCCCCATTTGTATCAAGTTTGTATCCAGAAGCAATACACTGTGTGCTTCCCACTTACAATGCTTTGCCATGATTGATAGACAGTAATTTGAAGGGAAATTATTAAAAGAAAATGTTTTGGTTTAGTGGAGACAGCGTGAGTATTAGAAGAAAGTGGAGCTATGTCTGAATCTGGTGTGAACTTGGACTCATTACTTAACTGAATAGGTGAGAATAAAATCTGCCTTTTAGGGTTTTTTTACAGGTTGGATTAAGTGCTCTAGGTAATGTGTTTAGCACCAGTACAGATGTACAACAAAGTTTAAAAGAAATGCTAGTTGCTTTGCTCTTCCCTTTCTAGTTCATGATGTAGCTTGAGAAAATAGGCCTTTAAAAATAACCCATTATGTGTTGAGGTCCTGACATATTTAAAAATTTGGCTAGTTTAACTTCAACCAATTTACCAACAAATGTTTACTGAGTGTCTACGTGTCTAACATTGATCTAAGAGGGAGGAAATATTAATAAAAATGGGAGTTTAAAATGGTCTTTACCTTCAAAGCTGGTTATGGTGTCATTTGTTTATCTTAGCTGTGTTTACTTGTTACAGATTGAAGTTTTTTCCTCTTCCCACAGGAAAGCTTAGATATGCCAATAATAGTAATTACAAAAATGATGTCATGATCAGAAAAGAGGTAAGTTCTTTTTGAATGTTTAGTTTTTCATGTTTAGTCCATTTTCCTCGTGTCTTTAATGAATTTGCAAAAGTACATCTAAGGCTATATTATAAGGAGAAAACCAATTTGTAGATTGAAATGAGATTCCTTTTAAATTGGTTATCATAGTAGCATATGTTACAACAAATGAGTCTCGTGTTTGAATATATCATTTAATTCACTTTGTAATTAACTTTGTCCTTTTACTTTATTCACTGTTAAAGCTAATTTCTAATCATGATATAAACATAGTACGGTTTTTAAATGAGGGGCTTAAAAATTAAGGATGAGGAAATAGCTGATGTGTACTTGTATTTGTCTCTGTGTCAGAAGACCTTGCGTTATCACCATTAACCACTTGGAGGTACTTGAATTCTCATGTTACACAGAAAGAATACAGGGTTTTCAAAGGGGGCTGCTGATGAAAGAGGGGAAAGTAAATATGTTAGAAAAGAAAATAATGTTCACAGGAAGGATGAATAGTTTTCATCCTGTATTTTTAGAATGAATTTTTTCTCTGTTGTGTTTGAATATTCAGGGTTTATAACTGTTCTGTCATTTTCTGCTGAATACTGGGAAGACGTGGAAGGACATTATGAAATTTTCATGGAATTCATTTTCAGGCTTACGTGCACAAGAGTGTAATGGAAGAACTGAAGAGGATTATTGATGACAGTGAAATTACAAAAGAAGATGATGCCTTATGGCCTCCCCCTGACAGGGTTGGCCGACAGGTTTGTATTCAGTGGGCTCTTTAAATGCATGCATATGTAAAACTGGTAATATAACTGTGTTTCCCTTTATTTATGAAGAATGCTTCCTCATTCTTTGGCTCTGCATTTACTGGGCTCCTGGTAAATACACTGTACTTTTATTTCACTTCGCTTTGTTTTCTGTGCTGCCTGCTAGCAGTAAAGGAGCAGCACATAGCTCTGAATTTAGATGTCTTTCCCAACAGTCTTCTCTGTAGCCACCTCAGCCCAAATTAGGATGTTTTCACACTGTTAAACATGATTCCTCTTACATCTTTTTTTTTTTTTTTTTTTTCCAGGCAGAGTTAGACAGTGAGAGAGAGAGAGAGACAGAGAGAAAGGTCTTCCTTCCATTGATTCACCCACTAAATGGCTGCTATGGCTGGTGCACTGAACCGATCCGAAGCCAGGAGCCAGGTGCTTCCTCCTAGTCTCCCATGTGGGTGCAAGGCCCAGGCACTTGGGCCATCAACCACTGCCCTCCCAGGCCGCAGCAGAGAGCTGAACTGGAAGAGGAGCAACCGGGACTAGAACCCGGCACCCCAGCCAGGACTAGAACCCGTGGTGCCGGCGCCTCAGGCGGAGGATTAGCCTAGTGAGCCACGGTGTCGGCCCCTCTTACGTCTTAATCAGTTTTTAGGCATATGTAGCAGTGCTGTTAGTTTCATTTAAGACGTGGGATTCTCCTTGACTGTGTAAAATCATTTCCTTCAGAATTCTTATTTTTGCCACCTCATGCTCCAGAGAGAGATTTGATTGATGTCTTTGTTCCCACTGGCTGTTGTGTTTGCCTCTCATGTTCCCTTCAGAATCGTTGATGTTTCTCCAAGGGCTTCTGAAGAACTCTGAAGGCCCAGTTTCACGCTGTAGAAAGTTTGGTTTCTGAATTGGGTCTTTTCACCTCTTGGAGAAAGGAGATCGGATCCCTGGAAGGAAGAAACATTGAATTTCACTTTTATATATTCCCAAGGATTATACTTTGTACCACCTTCGTTGTCTGGAAGAAAATGTGGAGAAATCTATCAGATGCTGACACTCTGTAGCAGTACTTCACTCTTCTATTTAAGGAAACATTATTTAATTATTTAGGAAAATGAAGGTATAGGGAACAGTATTTGTTTTTATGTATTATATCACTTTTAGAAAGTACATTTGGCTCTCAGATTTCCTTATGCATATATCTATATATGTGTGTGTGTACTAAAAACCAGACACAGCTTCAGCTAACCTTTTGGATCTTTTCCACTTAGGGAGAGCCTAGGGCTTCTTCCACCCACTTGATGATGTGTTTATGGGTTTCTGTTTGTGGAGAAGTAGGCAAGCTGTAGAAATTGCCTCTTGTGTCAATGTTTTATGATTGATAGAGAATCTTAGTTCTCCATTTGGTCTCTGCCACAGATTGTGCATAATTAGATCTTCAAATTGATAGCTAGGAATGCCTTTAATGGCATCTGCTTGTTAGTTTAACTTGAAGAATCATTGTAGACATAGTTTCTTAGTTATTGGCTTTAGATGTACAGATAAATAATAAGAGAAAAATTTATACAATAACAAGGTACACTGGGAACACCTGTTGCATTTCTTTTACTAGTTTCTTTCTTTCTTTTTTTTTTTTTTTTTTTAAAGATTTATTTGAGAGTTAGAGTTAAAGAGAGAGGTCAAGACAGATAGAAAGAGATTGTCCATCTGCTGGTTCACTCCCCCAAAAGGCCAAAGGCCAAGACTGGGGCTGGGCCAGGCCAAAGCCAGGAGCCAGGAGCTTCTTCCCAGTTTCCCATATAGGTTCAGGGACCCAAGCACCTGGGCCATCCTCCACTGCTTTCCCAGCAGAAGTAGCAGGGAGCTGGATCAAAAATGTAGCAGCCATGACTTGAACACTATACTCATATAGGATGTCAGCACTGCAGGCTGGGGCTTTAACCCACTGTACCACAGCACCACCACTGTTTTAATAGTTCTTAATTTTAATTGTTTTGTGAAGTCAAGAGGATTAGTCTTTAATCTTGAGAATCCATGGAGCAAATATTGCTATCACTTC